ATAACCCAGTAGAGCTCTGCTCAGTAGAAACCACAGAAAATAGAATAAAAAGGAGAGTTTGTTTCCAGCTTCACAGAGAAACCGAACCTGAACCAAGAACTGTCCACGGCCTCTCTAATGAAACTCACTGTGGAGGTGGTGGGTGGGGGCTCTGTGCTGCCCCCTGTGTGACCCGCTGAGCTGCCCCTCCCTTATTTTGAGTCTTCACTTGTGGCCTTTACAGAAAGCAGGGTCAGGGTCCCCGGATGTGCCGGTTTGAATATCAGCCCTGCCTCCACCCTGCCTGCACCACCTCCCTCTCAGCTGAAAGACGCTGAGTGATGCCCTCCTCCCCCCCACCCGCCCCTCCTTCGGTTTGGGTGGAAAGTTCCTACAGCAGCTGCTTTGCCTGCGTGCAGCTCTGAGGGTTTCAGGAGCTCCCGTCCAGCCGGATCCAGTCCGGCTCTTGCAGGTTTCTTGTCCCGCACCGAAGGTGTTGAACTGCAGCCGCACACACTCCCCTCACACACACTCTGAGCTCTCATTGAACGGCAGCAGACACACACTCAGGAGTCCTCCGAGTCTTGTTTTTGGTGCTTCTCTCAGCCTGCAGGTAGGTGACAGCTGCTCGCTTTAAAGCACTTTTACTGCTCTCAGAGGTTTACTGCTGAAGCATGCGCAGTGCGCGCGTGTTTTTATTTATTTATTTGTTCGTTTGTTTGTTGTGTGTGGACTGTGTGTGAGGATGGGGCTGCTGGGAGTTACAGTCGGGCTGACTGCTTCTCTTTTTCTCGCTTCTTCTGTTTGATGATCATTTTTTTAATGAAGGATTTTTTTAGTTTTTTGTAAAAAGCTTCATATTTGTGTGTCCTCCTCCTCTGCGTCGTCCTTCCGATCAAACACAGCGTGAGGAGTTGGAGGAGCCTCACTTTGTGTTTCAGGAGTTAATGATCAGCTGCAGAGTTGCTGTTTTCCTGTTCATGCGGGGCTCTTATTGTGGAGGGACCAAGGAATCCGATTGGTTGTGTGTGCGTGGGTGTGTCGGTGTATGCGCACTAACAGTCTGAAGTGCTTTATGTTGAAAGGCAAGGATCCTACAGGAGTGATTCCCAAAGTGGGCTCCGTGGGGCGGATTTTAGGAGTTGTTTGCACTTCCTGTTACAGAAACTGGCTGCAGTTCAGCCAGAGGAGAAACAGAGCGCGATCTCACGGTGAAACTCGGTGAATATAAGCAGACAGCTTCTAATATGATCAGTAACTCTCACACTGTGGACTTCTTGGCCCACGGGAGCCTCCCGAGCCAGTCCAGAATGAATGACTGGGGCTCTGTGGAGATGCAGGACAGAAATCGAAATACCACATTCACGAGTGTCGTGTTTCTGAGACAGATAAAAATTTACTGATAAACTAGAATAAAATAGAATAGCCCTTTATTGTGATTGCACATGTAGATAACCTCCAGCTGGGTGTTAGTGACGCTCCTGACCGCTGCTGGAGACATTGTTTGGAAACAGCTGACTGTCCCAAGTCATTAAAGGTACTTCGTGTGAAACAGCCGAGCACCCAAAACCACTTTCAAACCTTCTAAAGTCAGAGAAACGTGTTCGTGCTGCAGAGAGGTGCCTGAAGCTAAAACATGGGCGCTCTGGTGTAATACCACTGTGAGCCACAAGGTGTGCAAGACAAGAACGCGCCAACCGCGTGTTTGCGCAATATGTGTGCATGATTCCACCACGCGTGATCTCTGTGTTTGACCGCTGCACTGAAACATTGTTGCA